GATACTAGTTCGCAAAGTACATCGACTAATTTGGAGAGGTCTAGTGGATGTATTCAAAATGGCAGGGATAGATTTTCTGAATTCCTTCGCAATTATTCTGCCAACCAAGATAAGAGTGTTTGCCTGCGTGACCGAAGCAGAAGCTCGCTTTTTTGTTCGGTAAGAATAAATCGTAGGGCCATCCAATATCAAGAGTCTCCATGCTCAACTGTCTGACCGATTTGAAGCGTAAATATTTAAAGCTTGCTTAATGAGCAGTTAATACGTGCTTAATGCCTGCGGAATACATATTAGAAAATAAAGTCGCTTGTAATTACTTTACTAAGCTAGAAATAAAGGCGAAAAGCTTGCAAAAATAACCAAAAATACCAAGGGAAACTCCTATCAGTTAATCAAGCGAGCCTCTTGACCAAGAGCACTATAAGATCAACATTTATTACCACCGGGCGTCCCTAATATTTCTCCTATTTATTGCTCCACTAATTTAATTTATTTATTTATTGCCGGTTTATAGGGAAGGTTGAAAGAGATATACAGCAAAAGTCGAGCTGACAGTGAGGAAAACTGCTTAGCATTCTATATGGTGTTTGTTAGGAGAAAAAATTGCAGCTAGTTGAATTTTGTGAAGGGGAAGGGTGGACACATGAACACAGTGTTCTCAGCCTACCTTGTATGTTACTGGTGATATCTAACTCTGCGTGTTCTAGGAAGAAATAAAAAGGTATCATGATGACTGGTGCACCGAGATTAGTCGAGTCGCATTAGAGTACTAAGGGGATTGAAGGTACAACCGTTTAAAAGATAATCTGCAAAATAGTCCCTTCTGTAATCTGCGAAGCCGCAAGGGATCGAGGAAAGTAAGTTCACAAGGCTATTGGTAGGACAGGTAGCGGTATTTTAAAGAGAAAACTATTTTGGTTAATTTAAAACATTTTTTCTCCGGTATAAATTTGAAGCAAGCCAAACAGGCAGAATTTATTTGCGCAAATAAATTTGGAGAGAGTTTATCAGCTGCTTCTCGCAAAAGTTAAGTTGCGAAAATTCCCCATCAGAGAATTCAGAAGAGTATTTGACGAGTTAACACTTTCGATAAATTCTCTTCAGGCCAATACGTTTATGGGGGAGGGGTAAATTTAAGCAAGCGATCGATATTATTCGTAGTTTCTTACAAGCGGGAGCCAACCAGACCGTTGGACCCGATT